CAGCAGCGTCTCTTCAATGGTGGAGTTGGATGTTTCCTCATCCACTTTGAAGAGGCAGATGCGAGGCAGGATCACCTTCTGTTGGCGGACCTTCATGCCATCCAGCTTGTTGGCCAGGGAGGTGGTAACAGCTGGGATGGTATCGGGGTTGCTGGAGTGGAGGACAAGCTTCCCTTTGGTTCGCAGGGAGGCCCAAACGCCTTGGGGTAGAGTGTGGGCAGCGCGGACAGCTTTAAGCATTGCTCTTGGGTCAGCCTGTGGGTCATCAGAGATGACTACTGTGTGGGCCGCCGATTTTTCCCCATGGAGGACCACTTGGGCGGCCGCAGGCTTGGGGACTCGGGAGGGCGCAGGTTTTGCGGGACCATTGAGGTTGGTCCTCTTTGCGGGCGGGTAGGGAGCCTCAGGCTGCTTCCTTTTGGTTGGAGCGGGAGTGGCGGGCTTGGTGGGGTCAGTCTGAGTGCTGGTTTCCTTGCAGGAGGGAGAAGGGCTGGTTTGAGTGCTGTGGCAGGCTGTCTGTGGCTTGATTTCGTCCAGTCCTTAAAGGACGCGAGGGTGCCAGAGAGGTTCTCTACCTCGGCAATGAGGGCCTTGATCTGCTCAGACCGTAAGTTGATGAATTCCATTAGGCTTTGGAGCAGGTAAAATCGGGAGGTAGGGTAAGGATTCTGTATTTTCTGCTCGAAGTTCTGCTTCACCTCTTCGTTCTCCATCTCCAGTTGGGCGAGGGTTACGAGGGGCTTCTCGGCATTCTCGGCATTCTTCTTCTTCTTCCTAGGAGCCATGGCAGGAGCAAATTGTTGTGACCAACGATCTAACGTATATTGGTATAATTAGAAGATCTGCTGACCATCGGGGAACAACAACAACAACGAGTTTTTATAGGGGAAGAGTGACCTCTGGCGGTCGATTTAAACAGAGTATTTGAATCTATTAAATTATATAATTTAAAATAAAATAATATTTTTATATAACATATATATATATTTGTCGGCTATTTACGCCCTCAATATGTAACTAATCTCGCTGGAATTTGAACAGGACAGAGAGATAATTCTGGAAGAGTTTTTTGTCGCACTTTTAACCAAGAAAAATTATAATTAACCAAGTACTGAGCAACAATATTTTTTTAGTCAGAAATGATAATGACAATATTGCTGTATCATGCTTGATTGACATAAACAAAATTCTTTAGGGGAATATTCACTAAAGCAGATCACGGGCGAAGCCAGATAATAATTTTTAGTAGACAGGAAAAAAATTCTACCAGCGAAACATTCACTCGAGCAGAAGACACACGAAGCCAGGTCATCTCTATATATAAAATATCGTTTCTCGGCCTTTTGGTTAAGATCATGTAGTATATCGCTAGATATTTTTATTTATATATATCTTTTTAAAATCTATTCAGTAGAGAGAGAGAGGATATGTTTGCTCGAAAATTATATTTTATATATTATATAAATATATAATGTAACGAATATTATTAATATCATAATATTCTGTGTGTTCCGGAATATGATTATCAATAATATTCGTTAGGCAAACTTTGACTTGGATAAAACCCGGGCGAAGCCGGGTACACATCCGCTAGTATATATACATATACACTAATTTTATACTTATTTGTTCATATTTATTAATTATATATTGTATTATATAACTACATTTGAAAATTATCCCGCATGTGTTTCTTTTAAACGAAAAATCGAAATTTATTTTTAAGGAGAAATAACGATTATTTCCAACCTTAGGGATGAAGTATGAAAGGATGAATTGTGAAGAGTAATGATAAATGAAAAAATAAAAGTGTCCAGGGATGGGAATCAAACCCACAGTGTTCCGCTTACCGGGCAGATGCCATGTCCACTAGGCTACCCTGGACTTATTTTTCCGTTCGTAGATTTTATATATAAAATAAATATAATAAATTTCGATTTTATCGTTTAAAAGAAACACATGCGGGATAATTTTCAAATGTCGTTTTACAACCATAAGCCGCATTATATTGTATTATGTATTATATAACCTTATATATGAACGATGTAATAAAATTATTTTCAATCTCAATTTATCTCTGTCTCCAGCCATCATTCTCTGCAAATTCCTCAACATGGCAGCTAAACATGTTAGAGAAGAAAACTCCATTATAACCAAAGGTCTATCCAAATTCAGGGTGGCTTAATTTGACGTCCCATCGGAGAAGGCTTCGTGTTGATGTAAATATATATGGTAATTTAAACCAACAACCCCGCTGAAAGTAAATACTTCCTCTCTCGGCATAGATATATAAGACCTCCGCCCTTGCCGAAAATATAGTCACTTCACCATCACCGGGAGCCCTCGTCGGTTGTCACCAAGGTCCTCCTCATCGACCATGTAGATCAGTAAGAAAACTTCTTATCTCTCCATCTTTCGCTGCTTAGCTCGACTTTTATCTGTTCACGGAACTTTCTTAGTGCAACTGTGTCTTCGTTTTTTGTGTGGACATTCCCAAGCTTTCCACCCTGCCTCGACCACGACTACCTGTACTCTGTGAGAACTGTTAAAGGTCTCCCAAGGTGCAGAGAGGTACTGGAAAACTCTCCACGCCCTGACTGTCCCTCTCGGTTACTACAGGTTTACCCCTCTCGGTTACCACACACAGCGAGAGACCCTCGGTTACCACAGTATAGCGAGAGTCGACAGGATCGCACACCATAGATTAAGTCGACTGGATACCTCACCACATATATTTTTGTTGTATAAATTCTTTTGTTGATATCTATAAGTATTCTTTGTATCTACTAGAAGTCAATAAAGTGGTTTTAATCTCAAAATCTCCACCTACATAAAAACATTCCTAGGTAAATACCCTAAACTATGGCCTCTCTGTGATTTTTCCAGAATCCGGTTACAGACTACGGGTGGCATTGACGGACTCCGACACCGAGAATGCTGTCCAGAGCGCGGTCCTACGTGCCGTACCAGCGGCAAAACTTGACGCCTCCTATCCCGCTGAGATAGTCTTCAACCTAGGCGACCCTCCTGTAGCTCAGCTTCTACCGCTCTTCGACCGTTTGGAAGCTGCACGAGTCGACGGATCGCTTCCAGTAGCCAGCTTCGGCGTCTCCATCGCCACTATGGAGGACGTATTCATCAAGTAAGACCATCTTTCTTGTCTATAACTTGCCTGAATAACGAAGATTTATGTACCATTTGAGATCTTATATAGATTACAAGATATTTAGTCGAAGTGTGTTGATGTGATAGCTTTTTTGTGGTCTCTATATTAGTGATTCCTAAGAATTAAGTCGTGACATAGGTCGTAAAAGTTCTTCAAACATGTCGCTATATATTAAATTAAAGAGAATGCTATAGGTTACTATATGACACCTATCTGTCTGAAATGTTAGAGAATAAGGTATCAATAATAGAATCTCGCTGTCATAGTTTACAGAGATCCAAAGATATGTGAGTTATCACACAAAAACGCGAAATTAGCATATTTTGGGATTCGAAAATGGTGATGTATAAACACGTTGATGAGATTTTATATTATCATTATAATACTAATAAATAATAATTATTAATTACATTTTTGTTAAAACAATTATAGCTCAAAGGGGAAGAACAACGTCTAAGCTTTGACATTTTTTGATAATAATGATATTAATAATAGTGCACATATATTCTGCAATACTTTTAGAAAACTAAGAATAAAATATGTCCGCAACTATATATATGTCTGGTATAATGAGTTTTGTACCAAAGTTATTATATCAACGAACTATTCACCAATATCTCCAAAATTCTATTCAACTTAGAATGTTGTTGATGGGATAAATAGGTTGACAAAACGCCTATTTAAACGGTAGTTCTCGGGGAGGAAAAAGTGGGTCAAAACTTCTGATTGAAAGCAGAGTTAAGATTTTATTAAGCACAGATGTATCTTTTACAAAATAAACAAACCTACCATTGTCCTTAATGCGACGAAAAATGTTTTGGAGAGTTTGGCTCATCAGTGGTGAACCCTCCCAGCGGTTTAGCCAATTTAATGCACCACACCGCTTTTCAGAGCACTAATACTGTATTATGATTATATATGCTACAATGAAGGGTGGAAGCGTAATAATGGTAGTTAAGTAAACTATGAACATAAGCTTTTAGGATAGTAGAATTCTATATAAATATTTGCATCGAGCAATTCTATTCAGCAAACAATAAGGACAAGGCCAGTTAGGTATAAATTAATTATAAAGCAATTGTTTTTCTCTCAAATGATATAGTACAAAATATTATTGATTTTCGAGTAATTGATAAATCACACGCAGTTCACAAATAGGAGTTATATCAATTGTTATTATATATAATGATTTGCATAAACCCATCTAAAATGTTTTAAAATATGCAAAGTGAGCTATATATAAGTCAAAAATTTAGGAAATTAGTTCGAATTTTCTTTCTTTTGTATTCACATGTTGTAACAGGTGAATGTTCCAGAGCAGGTACGATGGCTGAGAAGGAGGCCTTGTTGGAAGAGAAGGAGTCCCAAGTCTCGCTCTCCAGTAGCCAGCAGCAGTTGGAAGGTAGGTACAGTACCTGCTACATAGGTCTTACCTTCTAGTACTGGCTACTACGTTCTCTGTGCTTATCCCTAGTCTTTGTATAGGAGAGTGGTTAGTAACTCTCCTTTACTGAGTAACCCCAAATAGCTCAGTTTGGGAGAGAGCGTTAGACTGAATATCTAAAGGTAAAGGTCCCTAGTTCGATCCCAGTTTTATGCATCTTTTTTTTAATATATATATAATAGCTGAGTTGGGAAAATGTATAGGAGAGTGGTCAGTTACTCTACTTACTGTTTAACCCCAAATAGATCAGTTTGGGAGAGCGTTAGACTGAAGATCTAAAGGTCTCTGGTATGATTCCAGTTTTCTGGCATCTTTTTTTTTTTTTTAAATATAATAGCTGAGTTGGGAAAATGTATAGGAGAGTGGTTAGTAACTCTCTTTACTCCGTAATCCCAAATAGCTCAGTTTGGGAAAGCGTTAAACTGAATATCTAAAAGTCTCTGGTTCAATTCCGGTTTTCGGCATCTTTTTTTTTTTAACACCAAATAGCTGAGTTGGGAAAATGTATAGGAGAGCGGTCATTAACTCTACTTACTGAGTAACCCCAAATAGATCAGTTTGGAAGAGAGCGTTAGACTGAATATCTAAAGGTAAAGGTCCCTAGTTCGATCCCAGTTTTATGCATCTTTTTTTTTTTTTAATATAATAGCTGAGTTGGGAAAATGTATAGGAGAGTGGTCAGTTACTCTACTTACTGTTTAACCCCAAATAGATCAGTTTGGGAGAGCGTTCGACTGAAGATCTAAAGGTCTCTGGTATGATTAGAGTTTTCTGGCATCTTTTTTTTTTTTTAATATAATAGCTGAGTTGGGAAAATGTATAGGAGAGTGGTTAGTAACTCTCCATACTGCGTAACCCCAAATAACTCGGTTTGGGAAAGCGTTAGACACTGAAGATCTAAAGGTCTCTGGCTCGTTCCAGTTTTCGGCTTTTTTTTTTAACCCCAAATATCTGAGTTGGGAGAATGTTAGACTGAACATCTCCTTACTGCGCCTTAAGGACTTACTGCCCCGATTCCTTATTACACACTCTAACTTGTCAAAACATGTCCAAACGTATATTCAAATATCCTTTAATTGATACTAAAGTTTGTGCTCCCCAGACAAAGATTATTTCGTCAAGTACGAAGACTCAGAACGTTTCAAGAAAATGACATCAATTGCCAAAGGATTATTCTTAAAACGATGGAACTTCACCAAGCGTTTCTGGGTCGGATTCGTGTTCCAGCTCCTAACTCCAATCTTCTTCGGCTTTCTTCTCATGAAAGGAATGGATAACTTGAACATCCTACGGAAGAATAAAGGAACTGTTGTTACACGTCGCCTTCTTGATTTGGGACGTATCTATGGCCCTACTCTGAGCTTCTTCTCTGCGGGACAGAATCTAGGGCCTCTGGAAGGAATTGAGAATATCTACGTCGATCTGGTGACCTCAGAAAAGGCAAGTATGATCCCTCTGACATTCGAAAACCTTGCTCAACAACTAGGGGCCCGTGGACGGCGGAATAGAAGACGCTACAAGACAAAATTGACGGTCGGTGGAACGGTACAAAGCGTTGGTTCTGGTTTCCTCGCGACCGCCTGGTACAACTATTATTCTTTTCATTCTGTACCGATATCTATTAATCTTATGATGACCTCGCTTCTTCGACATTTCTCGAAGAATCCTCAAGCGCGTATCCTGGTTATTAACTGGCCTCTGGTACATCAGTCAGATACGTCTTTCAACTTTGGCCTACGTGTCCACGTCGAGTTACGTATCCTTATTCATATCTTCTTACCCGTGGGCTTGGCTCTTCTAACAGCCTGCTATATCCTGTTCCCTGTTCACGAAAGAGTAACGGGTTCGAAGCTCTTGCAGCTTATGACGGGACTCCATCCAACTCTCTTCTGGGCGATTCACTTCCTCTTTGACTTCTGCCTTTGCCATCTACCAGCATCGATCCTCTTCCTCTTCTTCATGTACCTCTTCGACCACCAGAATTTCTACGCTAACAAGCCGGATGTTATGGGTAAGATGATTCTGTCTTTTTTTACCAATCCTGTTGTCTAGGGCACTCATCCATACGTGTGGTGTTCTTGAAAAATGTTGGCCTTACTATGATATTTAACAATTTAACACAATATAATGCGATAAACATCGCTACCCGACACTATCCATATCTTTATTTTTAGCCATATATACACCAATACCTCGCTTTGCGTCGTTTCGTTTTGCGTTTTTTTTTTTTCGGAGTTGCGTCGCTGCTTAATTTTTACTGATTTTCACTGTGCGTCGTTAGATTTTCGAAGTTGCGTTGTTTTGGATTCGAGTCTTTAATTTTTTTTTTTTTTTTTTTGAATTTTTTTCCCAAAATATGGCAACACCTTTGTTTTTGATTGCGTCATGCCATAAAAATTTTATTTTCACTTGGCGTCGTTTCAATTTGCGTCGTGTTTTTTTGGAACGTAACCCCGACGCAAAGCGAGGTATGGGTGTATATATTTATATACAGTTAAACCTAACACAAAGCAATAACGCGCCATCTATACATATAAAATAAAAGGATTTAAAAGCGCGAATGTTTCTTTTATACATAAAACGAACTTCTACTGTCCTTACTGCGATGAAAAATATATTGGGAGGGCTTGGCTCATCAGTGGTGAACCCTCCCAGCGGTTTCGCCAATTTAATCCACCAGACCGCTTCTCAGAGCTCTAATACTGTATTGGATCATTCTGCTTTTATATGCTACTCTGAAGGATGGAATCTTAGAAATGGTTTTCAAGTAAACTATGGACATAAGCTTATAGGACAGTAGAATTACATTCAATTATTTGCTTCGAGCAATGCTCTTCAGCAAACTATAAAGACAAGGCCAGTTAGGAATAAATTAACACAAAGCAATAACGCGCCATCTATACATATAAAATAAAAGGATTTAAAAGCGCGAATGTTTCTTTTATACATAAAACGAACTTCTACTGTCCTTACTGCGATGAAAAATATATTGGGAGGGCTTGGCTCATCAGTGGTGAACCCTCCCAGCGGTTTCGCCAATTTAATCCACCAGACCGCTTCTCAGAGCTCTAACGTCCCCTCTTGGGACTCACCTTCAAAGGAGGTTAAAAATCCAACTAATTAAGTTCTTATACCAAACCTCTCCTTGTGTGTAATTATAAGCAAAAAACTCTGTCAATTTCAAGAAATCTATTAATTTACCTGTCAAAACTGAGTAAATCTATTTTAAAATATTAGCGCATTCTTTTATATTTATTATATCTTTATTAATTCTGAATATAGAGCAATCCACAATATATGTATGTGACAATATCGTTACGGAATTTCTTGTTGTTCGATTTGAATGGTGAGGATTGGTTGAAACGCAGTCGTTGAGTGGCAAGTGAAGCATACAGTTAGGAATAATCAGGACACGTGATGGGGTTTGGAAATAAAAGGCAACTGGGTTGGAGGGAAGAAAGCTTGAGAAGAGTGGAGCGGGTTTTGATTGTTCCTTATCTGATCACATGGCGGTGATTGAACTTAGCTGTGGGATGAGCAGAGGGAGAGAGGTCTCGAGAGTAGATGTCACCTCTTTGGGAGCCAAAGCACAACTGACTATTCTTGCTTTTCGATTTAACACCACGAGTTGGCTTCTTTCCCATTGGTCGAGGGATAGAACGTGCCCGTTTTCCTATTGGTTGACCTGTTTAGGGAATACTTTCTGATTGGTTCTGCGGCGTTCTTTGGTGAAAGATACCGCCGATCTTGTCAGGAAGTATCGGGTGGTATTTCGACTCTATTTACTTCCGCGTTATCAAATACGTCCGGTCTTGGTCCGGAAGTATGGGGTGTCTCTCTACTTTTATAACTTCTGGTCACCAGATACGTCCTGCTTTGCCAGGAAGTATTGAGTGCTTCTCGACTAATATAACTTCTGCAGTCACCAAATACGTCCGGCCTTCTGTCAGGAAGTATTGACTGTACAAGTTATTTATAATTGTGCCCGCTTTAAACCTATTTCCTATGTTTTGTTGCTACTTTCTTTCCTCCAGTTACCTTATTCTTTATTAAATCTTTGAAAATCATACATTGTACATGCATAGTGGGTCGGAGGTGCATACAATTATATACAAATTATGACATGTATATTTTTAAAATAAGGCTTATTTTGGATTGTAGTAAGATTATTTATTAATCCGATATTTCGATGGACCAATCTTCCATCTTATACGAGGTATTTTGCCGTACCTCGTAAAAGATGGAAGATTGGTCCATCGAAATATCGGATTACTAAATAATCTTATTACAATCCAAAATAAGCCTTATTTTTAAAATCTTTATTAATATTAAGGTCACACAAGATATATGTAAATACAGTAGAACCTCTCTTAGGGGACACCTCTAAACAACGGACAGCTTTTATCGCCAAAACTGCCCTCTCATTAAAAATACGTTATCGCTAGCAAGCACCACAAAACAAAAGACACTTCCCAATACATCATTTATTCATTTTATATATAATAGATACATTCTCTCGCTATATAGCGGACAATTCAGAAAATCAAAGTTGAACAAAGAATATATATGTGTAGAACGACATCGAAAAATTATGCCGCATGTGTTTCTTTAGAACGATCAATCGAAATTTATTTTAAGGAGAAATAACGATTATTTATAACCTTAAGGATGAGGTATGAAAGGATGAATTGTGAAGAGTGATGATAAACGTAAAATAAAGTGTCCAAGATGGGAATATATATGTGTATCTATCTATCTATATATATATAAAATTGAATGTATGTCTGTCTGTACTCTATAGATTCAAAAACCATACATCCAATCGCCGTGAAATTTTGGGATATTATTAGGTATATCCCCGGGAAGGTTTTTGAAAAATAATTTCTTGAATATCTTGAATATCCTTAGAGTTATTTGTAGATTTGTAGATTTAACTCGCAAGCAGCGCCCCCATTGCGACGATGATAACAAGTTTTTTTATCTATAAGTTTTATTATCACTAAGTTTATTATCTTAAAGATTATTTATCAAAAGTAAGATTTTCTACCTATTAATTGCGCACAAGTCAAAGTTAGTTTTATCATTTATCTACAACATATATATTGGGAGAATAGATAAAATGATGATTTTGTAATGTAGAAAATTAGGAAAGACAAAATTCAGGATGACACGGAAATTTATTTGAGACAAGAATAATGATACAATTTCAAGGCAAGATACTATTCCTTTAACTTCCAATTACCGAGGGAACCAATTAATATTGATTTTATTCAACTTATCGAGTATTTTTCAAGGGACCGGGAAAAAATGTTCACTTTATCGAGAGATTCAAATTTACGAGTTTCAAATTATCAAAATATATCTTTTCTTTTTTTTTTTTATAAGTTTGTAGAGAATTGTTTTAACAAATGTTCATTAGACAATCCTTTACTCGGGTAAAACCCGAGCGAAGCCGGGTACATCCGCTAGTAGATTATAAACACAAGGTAATAAGAACAAATCTAAATAAATAAATGGTGTGTAATGGTTCAGTAATAATGTTATTACCTAAACGTCACACACTATTTATTTATTTGAACTTGGTCTTATTATCTTATGTTTATAATCTATAATCCAAATTGTGT